GTTATTAACATTTTTTGTTGTTAATAAAACAGAAGAAAAATAAAACAATAGCAAAAGAAAAAGAAGGAAAAAAGAGGAAAACTAGCATAATGGTGTACAGATGTATGGGAGAGTGCTGCCCCAGAATGCCATGAGTTTTTATAGAGTTCTATAGAGTTTTTATTTATTTTATTTGTGGGTTTTTTTTACTGTTTTGTATTCCACCCAGGGTTGTTATTACAATATGGACAACTATATCTCTCTCTTTTTAAATAAATAAATAAAACGAGAAAGCTAGAAAACAAGCAACATTATATATATATTAAACAATTACATACAATAATTTCAATAACTGATGATCATACTTCATTGCAACTGTTTTACATGAGATATTGAACTGTAGTTCATAAATACATGCTTATTCATGACCCACTAAATTTTGACTCGCTTATTTATTTAGTTTCAGCCTTTCAGCAGTTTTCCCACTGCATATTCTTACAGTGATGATAGTATTTTTCTTTAAAGCTAACATTTTCTTTAATTTCAGGACAGCTGTATCAGCTTCTAGTTGGCATCCAGTATGTTGTTGGACGAAAGAATTGTGGAATTTTAATTCAAAATGATCAGTCAATCAGCCGAAGTCATGCCGTTCTTTCAGTTAATCATCCCCAGGTGAATCTTGTAAGTATCACATTCAGCATGAATGTATTAGGAATAAATCTTCTGCCAACCTCATCTTTCGTGGTAACATGTATGTAGAGTAGTTTGGTAGTTTGATGATATGGTTTTAAAAAAAAAGGAGGGGTATAGCCAGTTTAATGAATAAGAGCACTTTTTAAACAGTTGTATAAGAGCACTTTTTAAACCACTGTATAAGAGCACATTTTAAACAGTTTATTGAACATTTGTTGACTTGGTGCAAGTAACATCAAATGCATCATGATGTCATTGTCAAAAATATACAAATTATGTAATTTGGATCTGATGCCACTGACTGAAATTATGTAATTTGTGTCATTTAGGTAACAATGTTATGATAGCTTGTTACAAATGCCTATGATTTATTTTACCTCTTCAATAAAACGGCATTGCTCAGCAAAGGTTGCATATAAAACTATACCTGGACACAAAACATAAACTTTCACTTTGGCTTTATGATTAGAAATATTTCACTTTTTAATTAACTATAGTCTCTCATTACCTCTGAACTGGTTGGTCCAAACAAACCGATTCCAAGCCACTGTTTAGGATCCTGGCTTGTTTGAAAATATCATAACTAAACCCAAGCACAGTTCTCAGTTTAAACAACAGAACAAACTGTAATTTATTAGTTGAAGACAGGAGTGGATTGCACCTTTTTTAGCAGCTCCATAGGGAACTAAAGGAGCTAAGCCATTAAACTGGTATTTAGAGGTTCATCCAAACCAACTTTCTAGTTGACTGTGCTCATATTTCATTCATTAATTCCTTAAGAATGTATATATCAGATGACTAATGTGGCTACCAAGATAGACTGTTAAGCAAATAAGCAGATAAGATAAATTATGCTTGACATATTTTTGGTGTAAAGTATAGTGCTGTATAAAATGTTAAAGGAAAAAAGTGTTCCTATGAAAGCATCTAAATCTTTGCAAGAAAAAATGTTCATTATAAGTAGAGTAAAACTAAACTGTTATTCACCTGGATGATTTGCTGGTTTATGTAGAATAACAGTGTACTGTGTCATTCTCAGGAACTATTAAAACAATTGAGATATTCCAAAAAAAGGGTGAATCCTTAAAATCATGTAACAAAAATAGTATTTGAAGGCAGAGAAATGGTAACATGTATGTAGAGTAGTTTGGTAGTTTGATGATATGGTTTTTTAAAAAAAGGAGGGGTATAGCCAGTTTAATGAATAGGCTTACTAGCCTTGAAACCCTAAATGCTATGAGTTTTATTGTAATTTTCAGAGTCAATCCACATCATTTCCTGAATTAACTTTGAAAGACACTTCAAAATATGGTACCTTTGTTAATGGAGAAAAGCTACCCAATGGTAATACCATGACATTAAAATCTGGTGACAGAATCACCTTTGGAGTCTTTAAAAGCGAGTACAGGTATGATAGATTTGTGCTAATTTTGAAACGATTAAGAGGAAATTTATGAGTTTGCTATGTATTTCAGAAGTCATAGATTATGGTTATGGATAAATTAAAAATATAAGACAAAATGTTATTCATGATTGTGAAACTTATAGAGGACAGAAATTAGTTGGGAAAAGCAAACATTCAGTATTGCAGTTCTTTTAAATTAGACATAAAGTTGTAACCCTACATAGATTAATTTAGAAGCATATCTATTGATTCAGCAGGACATATTGCCAAATAAGTGTTAAGAGCCTTACTGTGAAATAAGTCTCAGTAAATTCAAGAAGCCATCACTGGATTCGGCTATTTTGGACAAGTTTACACTTGTCTTCAGTTTTCCTTGTTTAGGAAGGGTTATGGAGAAAGTAGTGGCCTTCCAAATGCAGAGAGCCTTAGAGTAAGTAGATTATTTGGACCCTTGGCAATCAGGGTTCAAGCTGGGATACAGCACAGAGATTGTATTGGTCACTCTTGAGAACGATCTATGGAGAGACCAGGACTGGGGGAGTGCAACCCTCTTGGTCCTTCTTGATCTCTCAGCAGATTTCAGTACCATTGACTCTAGTATCCTCCTGGAGTGTCTCCAAGGGAGTAGAGTGGGTGGCACTGTCTTGCATTGGTTCTCCTCCTTCCTGAAGAAGTGGTTTCAGTTGGTGGCAGTGGGGGAAGAGAAATCTGCCCTGAAACATCTACTTTGTGACTGCTTCTCTTCTTTATCCACTTCTTTTTAACATCTACATGAAGCTACTAGGGGAGGTCATCCACCAGCACAAAGTTAGATATTGAGTTATACATCTCATCTCAGACCCCAACAGGTTGTGGTGAAAGTGCTGACCCAGTGGGATCTACTCACTTGCACAGAGGTGGTCCACAATTTGGGAATTCACCTAGAATCATAGTTCCTGCTTGAAAAGCAGGTTGTAGCTGTGACTAGGATGGCTTTTGAAGCTATATATTGTTTGCCAATTGCACCATTCCTGGAATGGGAGGCCATATTCACAGTCGCTTATACCTAGTCAGTTCCTCTTTGATTATTGTGACATGATGTACATTTGTTGTACGCTGCCCAGAGTTGCCTGTGGTGCGATGGGTGGCTATATAAATTGATTGGATGGATGGATGGATGGATGGATGGATGGATGGATGGATGGACGGACGGACGGACGGACAGACAGACAGACAGACAGCGAGCTGTGCTTGAAGAGCATTCAGAAGCTACAGCTGCATAGAATGCAGCATCCCAGGCTGTGATGGATGAGTCTTGATATTCTTGAGTGATCCCACAGCTTTGGGAGCTGCATTGGTTGCCAGTTAGCTTCACAGTGCTATTTAAGCTACTGGTTGTCACCTTAAGGCCCTACGTGGCTCTGGATCTGGTTATCTGAGGGACTGTTTTCTCCTGTATTCATCTTCTCATCCAACCAGCTCAAATAGGATCAATTCCCTTCAGGCGCTGCCTCTACCAGACTGTCACCACATGGGGTCTTAAAAGTGGGTGTTCTCAGTAACCGCCCCCACTCTTTGGAATCTCCTCCCAGTAAAGACTGGTCCACTTCATTTCTCTTGGGCTTCAGGAAAATGTTGAAGACCTATCTATTTTGCCTGGCACAGGATGAAAGCTTGCTGTAATTAAAAGTGAGGTTCATGGGCAGGTTTTGTATTTTTCAGGTTTTTGTCTTTTTTGATTTTGTATGTTTGGAGTGTTGTTTTATATTGACGCTGTTAGCTGCTCCGAGCCTTTTTAAGAATGAATGGCAATACAAGCAAACTAAAAGATAATTAACAAAATAAACTCAGAGCGACTTGTTTCTTATTAAATATATTTAGGATTGAACTGTGAAATGTTGGTTAGTTGATACTTACATTTTTTGTTTATGACAGAGCTTTATTGTAAGATTTGTAAAGATCTTATTTCAGGATGTGATGAACAAAACAGAACATGGAGAGTTTTTCTACGTTGTTTTCCAAAAATTGTATTAGGCAAATAGCCTAATATTAATAGTTCATTTGTGGATAACATAATTGTATATTCTGAAGAGATAGTCTATGGATATCATTACAGGAATTCTTGATTAGGTTCCAAGAGAAACTTCCTGAGATGAAGGATTTAGTTCAGTTTTGGGGAGGCCTTTCAGCTTTTTAGTTGGATGAATAGGAAAACAGTGTTTGCTCTCATTTCTGTCCTGAAAACCTGACTGGAAGAATTACAGGGCCTAGCTATTGAGCAGGGGGAATAATTGGAAATAATTTAATCTCCTTTTAAGAGAGATTAAATCTCAGTGAAGGCATTTTGAGCCGAACTACACTCTTGGGGGGAGAGAGAGGAAAAAAAAGCTGCTATGTTTTTGCATTGCTAGGTTTGCTAAGATTTGAAATATCTATCTAGAAAGATGAATTTTTCATCTTTCCTCTTTCCCAAGCCCAGCTTTGTCTGTATGCTTTATGTATCCATTGATAATATCAATCATGTGACTTTGGCTTTGGTTTCCTCCCTTGCCTATCTCCTTCATTCATCCTATAGTCAAGTCATATCGCTTCTCCCTTTCCAAAATCACAGAAACCATACTCTTTCTATCCCTTTGACCCAAATTCTGGTCCATTTTTAAAATCTGTCTACCCTTACTATTGATATATGACATAAGAGAAAGACTTCTCTCCAGTCTTTCCTTGACTTCCTTATGACTCTTGAATAGTATGTTGCCAAATAAATCCCCTGTTATTCTGATCTCGTTATGCCCTCTGAAATCTAATTTTTCACTGCCTCTCTGTTTATGGATCCAGCATCAAGTTTCTTTCCTGGACCTTGATGTGTCCCTGCCTAGAATATTAGCTCCTCCACTTATTATCTTCCATAACCTGAAATTGTCCTCTCCAAGATTCTAGCATTTGTCTCTTCGTACACTGTATGCTTGCTACTATCTCACTGGGGCCCAATGTAATGCCACTTCATCCAATCCCCTCTTTTTGGGGGGAAACCTTTGATTTAGTCTCCTGATATATGTGCCGAATGCAACACAGCCTAACCACATGCAACTGAAGCACTCACCAATCACCCCACCTGCCATACATCTTCATTTTCCCAGTTTGGCACTATTTATATTCATATTCTGTTTTATTGTACTTTGCAGAGTAGAGTATGAACCACTGGTAGTGTGTTCTTCATGCTTAGATGTTTCGCAGAAAAGTGTTTTGAATAAAAACATTCTTCAGCTGGGTGGCCATGTAGTAAATGAGTGGAG